AGAGGAGAAGCCCCACATTCATAAAGCAGGCAATAAAATTCAGTAGGTCATGCCAGCAGAGCTTTCCAAGGAACAGCAATGAGTGGACTCGAGACTTGACCCTATCACCATCTTATTCCTCATCAATTAATGACCCTACCCTCCTTTCTTGTATACCCTTACATTCAGGTTATTTGACCAAAGGACCAATCGTATTAATCCAGTGGAGCTTTTGAGGGCTATTAAATTAAGGGGTAAGACTTGAATCCAAGCCTCCATAGTCACCAAGTGATAGCAATTAGCAGGAACCATTGTTACGTTTAGGTTAAGAATGAAGAGAGCATCTAAGCTACCAGAGAGAACAAAGAAAGAAAAAGGAAAGGGAAGAATGACAGGGATTCGATGCAACAAGAGAGTACTGAGAAGGAAATTGCAGTTAGCAGTGAGTGGACATGACAAATTCAACTTTCACATTCAAGTGTCCCTTTAGTACAAAGAAAGGGCCTACTAACTTATAAACTTCTTTTTTTTTTTAATTTTCTTCAGTGTTTTTAACTTACAAACTGGGAAACCTAACTCCATTTCAGCCTATACACTGTATAGTATACAGCGATGGACCCAGATTTGGCCTGTTGGGATCTTTAAAGGAAAAAGAATCAGAAGATACTTGACATGGTGTAGATAAGAAGTTAAAACCATGCCTTCGTCTTAGAGCCTGTGCAATAAAAGGAAAAGAAGGGCAGCCATTGGAGGGAGGGTGACAAAGTTGCTGGCTAACTGTATCATATTGCGAATCAAAGGAAAAACAGTTTATAAAAACTGAACAGTTTAAGCAATTGTAGTAAACAAGCTTGGTGAAAGAAGGAAATTGTGTAAAGGGAATGATTCAACCTTAAGGCTTCGCACCATCAAGTTCCTCTAAGGCCCTGCTGAACTAAAAGAAACAGGTAGAAGGCTATATGAATATGATTCTTCGAATTATATATGTTGCTCCTTGGGTGGGCTCTCTGGGTATCCTTGAATACTCCGAAATAATATCTAAAATTGTCATTTGTGTTTTCATTATAAATTATAAAGTGAGGTTCTTTCTGTTAATTTTATTATAACAGTTGTATAAAGTATAGGCTAAATCAATATGATTACATTACAATTAGATTAAGATACCATTAATTTGATTATCTTTTAAATTATTCAGAATTTTTTTATATATTATTTTTCTTGTACAAATTCATAATCTAGAATACTAAATTTATTTTCTGGTAATATAATAGAAATCACCATAGGCTTCATGTTTATATTGTTCATAACATGAGAAATGAATTTCTGTACTTATCTTCTTCACGCATAAGTGTTAGAAAGAAAATCTTATCTTTTAAGCAAATAAAAACTATTTATTATTGAATTTGTTCACGAATATTTAATTTAATAATGAGTGTTTATATCTTTAAACTCGTAGAATTGGTTTCAAATCATTACCCAGGATCAAACCGCATGAAACGCAATATGCATTTATATTTCTTTATTTTGAAAGTATTGGGCCAGCGTAAGGGCATCCTGGACTGTTGATGGGCAAATTGTGTTTTGTCCTTTGGGACGTCTCCCTCTTTCTCTCGAAGCTGTGTTGCAGTCAAAAGGGAAACCCAGATCTGAAACCATAACTCACCAAGCCCAAACATGGACAAAAGCCCAAAAGAAACCCTAGATTCAATTAAACAAAATCAAACTCACGAGGACTCAATTGAACAAATCAAAACAACAGGGACTAATGCGATATTTTGGTAAAACAATTGTAGGCAACGATATAAGTGCTTGAAAGCCTTAAACCCTAGCTGCTCATTTTCCCAAAACCCGGATACCACCGGCCAACTCGAACCCACCCCCAAAATACAGCCTTTTAGTTGAGTTTGATTATTTTGAAGCGAACAAAGCTCAAGCTTTTTTGTGGGTGGGTGTTTGGAGCCTTTCTTCAATGGCTCTTTACTTATTGTACGAGTCAGCTTCCGGGTATGCACTGTTCCAGGCTCAGGGCCTCGACGAAATCGGCCAGAACACAGAGGCCGTTAGGAACTCGGTTGCGGATCTGAACCGGTTCGGTAAGGTGGTCCAACTCACTGCTTTTCACCCCTTCGAGTCCGCTCTTGATTCTCTCAACCAATGCAACTCTGTTTCTGAAGGTAATAGAAGATTTTACACTTTTTTTTTGTTTTGTTTTATCATTTCTAAGTTATTCTGTTTTTCAAGCTTCTGAGGTTGTTTTATTTGTCCTTGGTAATATTGTTTTGATTGTATGGGTTTTCTGGCTGCCTCTTTCATCTGTGGGCTTCTGCTAGTACAGTTGTATTTTTTTTTAATTTTATGCAAGTGATTGTCTTGACTTGGTGATGTTGGGAGTTGCTATGAATAAAGGATTTTTCTTTGATGAGATTGATGATTTCTGCTGATTTTGAATTTTGTGAGCGGAAGTGAGTCGGACTTTCTGTATAGGTAGCTATATCTGATGGGCACGGCTGTAAAAAGGCATTGCTTATAGCGCATTTCTGCCAAAGCGTCAGCAAGCTTTCCCTTGCCATAGGCTGTTGCTCATCAAATAAACCCTCTTGGAGTCATATGACTAGTCAGAGGAATCTCCAAGTATAAATTAAGCTGCAAAGGTAAACCAAGGCTGTTTATGCCTTCCTGTTGAGTCTATCCTCAATAAACCTATAAGGTTCTGACCCTTCCTTCCAGTCACTTTTACTGGCAGAACAGCACAGGTTTATTGAGTACTTTTGGAATACTTGGACTGAACACTCTGGTTGCACTTTGTTTATGGTTTTCTGTTCTATGGAAATAGAGGATTCACTTCAACAAGGAGTACACATTCTTGCCCTTTTATTTCTGTAAATACCTTTCTGTGGTTGTAAATTAGGTTTTGCTATTTGTATTTTGGGTTTGTTTTTATTATATTGCTCATCTTGAAGTTCCATGTGCAATAAGCTCCTCAAACTACTAAGCTAAAGGAAGACACCATGATTAATAGAATCAGTAACTGTGCACATTCTTTTGAACATCAGGTTGCTGTTCAAGCTGGGTTAATTATTGGGTTATGTGTGGTTTGATTGGCAGGGCTTATGACTGATGAGTTAAGGAGCTTTTTAGAGCTGAATCTCCCTAAAGTCAAGGAAGGCAAGAAGTCCAAGTTCAGTGTGGGAGTTGCCGAGCCTAAGCTTGGTTCCCACATCTCTGAGACAACTAAAATTACATGCCAGAGTGGAGAGTTTGTTCTTGAGCTTCTTCGTGGTGTGCGATTGCATTTTGATAAGTTTATCAAGGACCTAAAGGTTTGCAAATTCATTATGTTTTACCTTAATTTCTCTTTCAGGAAGACAGCTACAAGCATGTGTTTTTCTTATTTGGTTTTCTCTCTCTTCCTGTATCTTCTTAAACTTCATAGCCTGGGGACTTAGAAAAAGCTCAACTTGGTCTGGGCCACAGTTACAGCAGAGCAAAGGTTAAGTTCAATGTCAACCGAGTTGACAATATGGTTATTCAGGCAATTTTCCTTCTTGATACTCTTGACAAGGATATCAATTCCTTCTCCATGAGAGTGAGGTTTGTTATTACTTTACCCCCAAAACTAGCATATTCTTGGTTCAAAACACCACAATAATTGGTACGCTTGTTATTATATGTGGGCATTGGTTTTATTTAATAATATCCTCTGGTTGATCACTTCCTGCAGGGAATGGTACTCTTGGCATTTTCCTGAGTTGGTAAAGATCGTCAATGACAATTATCTCTATGCTAGAGTTGCAAAGCTTATAGAGGACAAGTCAAAGTTGTCTGAAGAACACATCCCTGCCTTAACTGAGATACTCGGGGATGAGGACAAAGCCAAAGAAGTTGTAGAAGCTGGCAAAGCATCAATGGGTAGATCTTTTGTATTTATACCACAATTCGACCTTATTTTCTCATACACCGTATTCACTTGTTTCTTTTTCCCACACTTTGCAGGTCAAGATTTGACCCCAGTTGATTTGATTAATGTTCAGCTATTTGCTCAGAGGGTAATGGATCTGGCCGAGTACAGGAAGAGTCTTTACGATTATCTAGTGACTAAGATGAATGACATTGCACCAAATTTGGCATCATTGATTGGGGAAGTTGTTGGGGCTCGGTTGATCTCACATGCTGGTAGTCTCACGAATTTGGCAAAGTGCCCCTCTTCAACTCTTCAGATTCTTGGGGCAGAGAAGGCCCTCTTTAGGTATTTTACTTTGCACCTTATATTCTTATGATATGTGGAGCTATGAAATGTATGGGGAGCTGGGCTCTTGCTAAAATTTAGGCCCTCTTTGAGCAGAACCTTGATTTCTGTATTGCTATGAAAATATTCTTTTTTCTGTTGACAATTTTCTTATCCTTAGTTTTTAAGGCATTGGCTTCACTCATTGCTTGTTGTCTTCAGGGCTCTCAAAACACGGGGAAACACACCTAAGTATGGTTTAATTTTCCACTCATCCTTCATTGGCCGAGCATCTGCAAGAAACAAAGGCCGAATGGCACGGTATCTTGCAAACAAGTGTTCCATTGCATCTCGCATAGATTGTTTTGCAGGTAATTATGATTGTTATTTCCTCATACGCTGTAAGTTTTCCCCTTAAGTCACTCAATTCTCATCTATTTGCAGAGAGGGGCACCACTGTTTTTGGGGAGAAACTGCGAGAACAAGTTGAGGAACGACTTGAATTCTATGACAAGGGTGTTGCCCCTCGGAAAAACATTGATGTGATGAAGGCTGCAATTGAAACTACTGAGAGCAAAGGTAAATGGATCTGTGGTCCTTGCATTTTGTACAATTTCAAATATTTGGTCTTTCACTGTAAGAGGATCTTTGATAGAAGTAAGGGGTGCAAGTTCACTGTAAGAGGATCTTTGATAGAAGTAAGGGATGCAATACCTTGCACCTGAGGCCTTCAAATTTTGATATGCCCTTGAGCTGAACAACTTAGACCCAGAGTTTGGCATGTTGCATATTGTGGCCTGTTGCATCTTTATAGATTATTTGACTGCAGTTAATCTATGTGCTTTGGCAATTTAACAAGATGTCCATTTACAATATTTATCTGTTGCCATGCCTTATGCAGATCTTGAAATGGAAGACACACAACCTGGTGAAGCTTCCGTAAAGAAAAGCAAGAAAAGAAAATCAAAAACAGAAGATGGTGAGGCTATTGCTGAGGATAAACCAGCTGCTGCTACGAATGGAGATGCTTTGGAGGATGCTAAATCAGAGAAGAAAAGGAAAAAGAAAGAGAAAAGAAAGATGGAGCAAGAGCAGGTGGAAGAGGAGCAAGCAAATGGTGTAAATGGGGATGTTGCCGAGGAGGACGGAACAGCCAAGAAGAAGAAGAAGAAGAAGAAGAGTAAAGATGAAGGAGCTGCAAGTGAAGCTAAAAAGAAAAAGAAGAAGTCCCATGAGTGAAAATGACGAGTGAAATTATCACTGTTTGCTAAATTTTGTCTGACGCAAGCTATAATAGTGTTTTTAAGTACTTTTTAGTTGTAGAAATGGTCATATGTTTTTTTTGCCTTCATTGTCTCAACTTTTGTCTGGTGAAGGAATTTAGGTGCCTGCCCAAGAAATTTGACAATTTCTTGAATTTTCAACTTAATGTATTAATCTAAAATTTGGCCTACTTTTTCGTTGCTTCTGGTAATTGCATGTTACCTGACAATGCCCTCACGCTTGTGCTTGCTGGGAATTGACTTCCATTAGTGAAGAGAAAATGGATTGAAAAGTAAAACTGAAAAACGGTTCTCTCTCTTTCCATTTAATATTTATCACTTGTATTTAAATGGACAACTAAGAAGAAGAGCCCTAGGCAAAGATGGATATTCGAAGGGGTGAAAATGGAATCGTCAACCCCTTACCCTCACCATGGATGTTAATTTCTTATTATTCCCTCCGTTTTTATGGATTTTTCTATATTCATTTTTTATAAAAATCATTTTCATTAAATTTTTAACAAAAAAAAACAAGAATTTATGTACTCTGTCATCTTATTATTAATAACTATAATTTTTTAAAAATCTTACATATCAATTTTATATAACATATTTAGCATAAAAAATGCATTATTTAAATAAGAGAGCAAGAATGAATATTTCCAAAGAGAAGAATAAAATTAGGAAAAAAAATAATATTAAAGTGGGAAGTAGTATTAGTTTTGGAAACGAAAAAGGGCAAAACAGTAACTTTTTTAACAAAGCAGAAAGACCGCTGCTTGAGTTTGAAGCGTTGGTGGCTCCGAACCGAAGTAAAGGAGCTTAAAAGGCCTATCTCAAATCTCAACAACTCTCTGTCTCAGGCCTAAAACAACAAAGAAAAATCCTTCTTTTCCTTTTCTCTCTTGTCTCAGTTTTTGTGTTAAAACCCAAAACCTTCCCCCCCTAAAAAAAAAAAAAACAAAGAGAGAGAAAATGGCGAGCAGTTCAGCGAACTTGGAAGATGTACCATCGGAATCACTGATGACTGAGCTGCTCCGTCGCATGAAATGCGCCTCCAAACCGGAAAAACGCCTCATCCTCATTGGTACAGTCCCTCCTCTCTCTCTCTCTCTCTCTCTCTATTTGCTTTGTATTAGATTCCTCTGTTATTTTGTTGAGAACTAACATAGAACTTTCAGATCCGACGGTCTGTTGAAGCTGGTTTTTGTCAGATTTTTTTAATTGGTTTAGACAGAACCGTGAATGCGCTATGAGTTTTGAACGCTCTGAATTCCACTGAATATTTTGTACTGTTTTACTTTCCATACAATTTAAATGAATAAATACATATGTAAAAGCAAACTAGGGGCATTGGGAGAATTGCTAATTGATTAATTGCAGTCTATGATCGGTTGAGTGCATTGCCTGAGCTGTGACCCCACTTTCTTTTGTTTCTGAAAGGTGGAATGTTGGGAAAGTTTGTGTCTCCGAAATTGTAGTTTTTGAACTTTACAAATATCATTTATTTACGTTTAGTGAAAAAAAAATGGGTCTTTCCCTGAGCAAACTCTAGATCAATGACCAGTAGGGTACTGGGGTTTTTGGTTTTCCTGTTACTTTGTTAAATCATATATTTATTTTAACATGTTTCATCTTTGTATGGTCATTGCAACAAAGCCTAGTCCATATTTTCTTTTTAACAAAAATGAAATGAATTTTCATGCCAATTTTGTATTTATATATTTCATCTGCATTCACCTTTTTCCCTTCAAATTGTGCATAGATTTTTGAAGACCAGCTATTAATGCCCCTTGTCCATGACCTGATATGAAATGAGTCTGTCTTTTGTGTCGCAGTTCCATGCGGCAACGTCCATTCTATTGCCTAATCCAAATTACACGTCTTGCTTGCATAGGGTCTCGACTTTACTTTTTCTTTCCTTCCAATCTCATTTGAACGAACTAACTCTTTGACCCAAGATCAGATTGGAATTTGGGCTGCTTGAAAGTTAATAGAAAGATAGTAAAGTTTGATTTTATATTATTTTTTACTCAAGGTCTCAAGCATTTGTAACTATCTGTATCATGCTGGTAGCAACATCTCAAAAACGTGCTGCCATTCTGTTAGCATTCTTTACATTACTATCAGTATTTTCTACTGTTTAGCCATTGGTAGAAGGATGGCCCTGTTTTGATTATTGGGAAATATTATGGATGGCAGGTCCACCTGGATCAGGAAAAGGTACTCAATCACCAATTATTAAGGATGAGTACTGCTTGTGTCACTTGGCCACTGGTGATATGCTTAGAGCTGCTGTTGCTGCTAAAACTCCTCTTGGTGTCAAGGCCAAGGAGTCTATGGATAAGGTTAGAATTTTTTCCACAACCTGTCTGGCTTATATTAATGGTTCTTACTGGATTGCTAATGAGATATTTTGTGGTTGTTTCTCAGGGAGAACTTGTTTCTGATGATCTGGTTGTTGGCATTATCGATGAAGCGATGAAGAAACCTTCATGTCAAAAAGGTTTCATTCTTGATGGATTTCCAAGGACTGTAGTCCAAGCACAGAAGGTGTTACCTTCTTCGAATCTTTATGCTCTTTCTTTCTTTCTCTCTCTTCTGCAGAACCTTGAGTTTTTAAAATTGTTATACCCACACATCTAAATATGTAGTCTTGCTCTTCAATTTGCAGCTTGATGAAATGCTTGAAAAGCAGGGAGGTAAAGTTGATAAGGTGCTCAATTTTGCAATTGATGATGCGATCTTAGAGGAGAGGATTACTGGTCGCTGGATCCACCCTTCTAGTGGTAGGACCTATCATACGAAATTTGCACCTCCTAAAGTTCCTGGCATTGATGATGTAAGTCAAACATAAGTAATCCTCATTTTACATCTGTTTGTCACATAAACGCAAATTTGGTTGCCAGGGATTTGGGCACAGCCTTTTCACCTTTTTCACCAGTGGGTGAATGCAAGTGGTAAATTAAGCAATTTATCAGGAGAGATGCCTTAACTTAATCCAAATTTGTTGATACACTAATAACGATCAATCCAGCTACCTCTCTTTAAGCTGCATCACCATTTTCTTAAAGAACTAGTTGCAGTTATGTTAACAAACTTGCTTCTGTGTTTATGTTCTCTTCAAGGTGACTGGGGAACCATTGATTCAACGTAAAGATGATACTGCAGCTGTTCTCAAGTCAAGGCTAGAGTCATTTCACAAGCAAACTGAACCAGTATGCTTTTCGTTTCCTAACTATTTCTGTGCAAAGTGTGAAAGATCCACAATTGTTTTAGTGTGAATTCTTTAAAGTTTTTTGGAATTGAAGAGTTACTAGGATGGGTGCTAGGCATTTACTAAAAGGGAGAGATACAATATAAGTGACAAGCTAATTGAGCATGTGGCTAGAATGATATGAGAGGGAGTATCATATTCCTCTACACTGTCTGGTTGTTACGTCCGATTATGTAAACTGGATCTAATGGAACATCTTGATGGTTCTTGCTGAATGATGAATGCTACCCTTTATGTACTCTGTCATACCTAGTTATTTCTTTCTGATTTTTTTTTTTGTCATTAACATTTTTAATCGTGTTGTGTGAAATTTAGGTGATCGATTATTATTCCAAGAAAGGAATAGTTGCAAAGCTTCATGCAGAGAAGCCTCCTAAGGAGGTTACGAATGAGGTTCAAAAAGCACTTTCATGATGAAATCCCATTATGGCTGAGGTTCAGAAGGTGCTCCACTCATGAATGTTGGTTCTCTTAACTTACAAAACAGAAATTTTTTTTTTTTAATTGAGAATTTTCTTGGATTTTTGCTCATGTTTTGGGTACACGTTCAGATGCTCTGATCCATTATTATCTGATTACTATTTTGGCCCAAATCCGGCTCTTGTCGTTCAAGTATTGATGCTGATGCTGATGATGCATATATTTAAATAATGATACTATAGATTGACAACAAATAATTGTTGGGTATTAATTTGAAAGGTGCTTTGTTTCGCCCACTTGCAAATCAAAATGTTTCATAGGTGTGCTATATTCTTCTGAAAAATATTTGCTGCTGGCAATACTCCACTAATGTGACTGAGGAATCTGGTATTAGCAACAGCCCTTTTGTATTATTACGTGGTGATCGATTTGTTTATTGAAAAAGGTTAGACAGCAGAACATGATTATCTTATTGGGGTTATGTTTGGCACATTGTCAGCCCATGAGATAATGTTACTTCCTAAAAAAAACAAATGCAAAAAAAAAAAAAAACATATAATTCTTTGATGAACTTAAATATAAATATTTCTAATTTTTTAAATAAATAAATAAATATATATTTTAAAAAACAAAAAGGTAATTTTTTATCTCTCCAACTCTCATCGGATCTCATCTTTTTCACTCGTTTTTTGTCCATTTTCAACCATAGAACCCTAAATCTAGTGATTTTTGTGATAATTAAATTCTAATTCTATCAAAACTTTAATGCAAAAGCTGGTCTTGTTTAATAAGTAGTTACTGGTGTTCAATAAAAAGATAAAAGAGTCATTAGAAAAATCAGCAAGAAAAATTAACTGATTCAAAATTAAAAATAAAAAAGGAAGTACAACTAATTAAAATTCATTTTTCAAAGATAAGCATGAAAAACTATAAGTTGAACTATATGTCCTTGTCCTCTAAATAAATTATCGGCTATCGAGTAAAAACATCAAAAGAATCAAAGTCAAAGTAAGCTTGACCACTTAATAATTGTTAATTTTTCATAATTATCCTTCCATTGAAAATTAATCATTTGTTTTTCTTGTTGATTTTTCTGATTACTCTGTCATCTTTCTGTTAAATAATATAAAAGTTTCAGAACATTTTGTATCCGTTTTTACTTTACGAAATCTATTATAATATAAAAATTAAGAATAACTAATTGAAATTTACGAGTTCATTATGGACGATTACAACACCTGCTTTTCATTTAAATTTTGATAGAGTTTGAGTTTAATTATAGTAACAATCACTAGATTTAGGTTTCTATTGTTAATAATAGACAAAAACGAAAAAAAGAAGAAGAGATTGGGTGGGAGAGTTGGAAAGAGATAAAAAATTAATTTTATCTTTTCTAAGAAAATTATTAATATTTATTTTCAAATTCTTTAAAGAATTATATTTATTTTTTAATGAAAGTGCCACTATCTCCTTACTTGAAAATAAATAAAAATTATACACTATCAGTACATCAAATATAATCTAATTTATTTAACGACAATTAATGGATTAATTCATGAGTTTGAGTTTTATATACTAACAGTCTTACAAATGGCCTTATAATTTGAATTGTCTGGAGGAGTTGCAAAAGGGCAAGATTTATGCAATACTGCTTAGGGAAGAAATTGGCCCTTTTGCACATTCATTAATTTAGAGAGAATTTCTTGTATGCTCTAAAAAGAAATCCTCCAACTCATGGTAAAGTTGGAACCTTAATACATTTTTACCACAATGCCATCCAAGGTTTTCTATCTAGTGGCTGGACAGAATATTGTTATTGCTGCAGAAAAACATTAAGACACATCCAACCCATCTGCAACCTTACTGTTAGGTAGCGGAATCTTAAGCCACTGACAGAACCCTTAATCGTTGCCACCATACAATCGTAGATCCGGAAAAACATACCAACTAGTCCAGCAACTTAACCATGCAACATCAACCTCATGGTTGCACGGCATTTTGAGCAAGAACTTAAATAGCAGCTATTTAGAAGTCATTTTGGTTATTGCACCTCTTGCCCAAGATGGAGAGAGGATCTACACGTCGACTGTAATCTTGGTGTCAAGATGAGAGAACTCTTGGAAGAAGGCCTTGAAATGCTCATATGAATGTTTCACATCATCAACAGCACACATTTCTCGTATGCTGTGCATTGACAATTGAGGAGCACCAACATCCACCGTACGGATCCCCACACCACTTGCCAGGATAGGACCGATGGTTGAGCCGCAAGGCATATCATTGCGCACCACAAAATCCTGCATGTTCATAAATTTTCTGAAACAATCAGTTCATCTATTAAACCAGTTGACATAACAGAAAAGCATTTCTTTTGTGCACCATCTTCAGATAGTACGTGATGCTACATTACATCACATGAAAACCACAAGCAAGTGAAGAATGGATTTGTAATACCAGCACTATATTAAGCTTAATCTGTTTCCTTGAAACTGGATGAAGTTCTTATTTTCAGCAAAAGCTCTCCCTTTGTTATGTTCGATTTTATTTAAAGAAATAAGATGATTGTTACAGATCCAATTCCAAAAGATCAAAGGAGCTTTACAAAGTTACAAATGCTATAGAACACATGAAATGATGTTTCCTTCTCACTAGAATTTGCACATTAAAAGATATGGTTGAGGATTGATCTGACCTGAACAGGAAGGTTATGCTGCCCTGCTATTTCCCTGAATATGAAAGAAGTGACTGCATTGGTTGCATAACGTTGGTTTGCATTGTGTTTGATAACAAGTCCCCCATGCAACTTAGGCTGATGGTTGTCTTCATGTTTGTCCTGCGGATAACACCATATGACAGCAGCACAACAAAATAAATTATCTGCAAATGCAAGTTATGACTCATCTGCAACAACATACCATATAATTTGGGTGCAGGGCATGTGCCATGTCAGCAGAAACAAGGAAACTTCTCTGAATTGCTTTTGTTAGCAGCTGAAAAGAAACCAATGCAACAAAAGTCAACAGGATGACTTTAATGAAAGCACAATTACTAAGTTTATAGACAAATGGAAGGTGATTATGCCAATCTATATGGTCACTTGCTAACTACTATCATTTTGGGGAAATCTTTTATGGCAAGCCATGAGTCTTATGTTAGATGATGAGCTCAGAAAACACAAGAACTCCTTCATTAGGCAAAAGGTTTTTATACAGGAGTAAAGAGATAAAAGAAATAATTTTTTTCTGGGAACAGCCAGACTGGCAGTAGACACTAGTCCTTATCCTGTTAATACGGAACATACAGATGACAGCATTCAGAAAATATACTCATAAATTTCCAAACAGATTGTCTGTGTCTGAAAGCATTTCTTCAGAGATGAAATCACAGCAAAGAATTGGAAAGTGATACATATAAGTTAAATCTTAACAACAACAAACTCCTATCATGGTCTTTATAGGTAAAAGAAAAAAAAAAAATAGTATCATGAAATGCAGGTGCTTCTGATTTTTGATTTTCTATTTTTTTTTTATGAAAGAACAATATCCAGATGCCTTATTTACAGGTAAATGCATAAAACTTCTAGACTTCACAAACAGTGAACCATACAGAAGTCAAGTTAGTTCAGTTTATACAACCAAAATTTCAATTAAATATTCCCCTAACAAAAATCAGACAAGCTAATTGAATAGAAGCAGGATTCAGAAAATAGAGATGGAGGAGCAGCAAACACCTTAGAATCTGAGGTGAAGCAATTTGTTACTCGTGATAGAGCATCCAACATTACAGGAGATCCAGCTCCTTGTGCTGAATCAGATCCAACCTCCTCATGATCAAACAATGCCACCATTCTAACACCACTCTCATCTTCAAGCTCGCTTTCAGAAGATGTAGCATCTATCAGTGCCTGGAATGCAATCACATTGTAACGAATGAGAATAACCATGGCAAATTGACATGAAAAAAATTGTATCCCCTAATTCACTCTCAGACAGTTTGGATGGAGTATCATATCGTGAAACTTCCAGTTGCAAAACATGGGTAGGCCACTAAAATGAAGGGAAATTCAAATGTATTGATTTATGAAAAGTTGCATTGGAAATTCAATTTAATTGGATTTTATGAATCTAGTAGTTTAATATCAGAGGTGATTAGCAGGATTCCAATAAGAAAAGACTAAGAACATGTCTGTAAATGGCCAAGCCTCATGTTTCAAGTAACGCAAACACCAAATGGTCACTAGACCTTAAAACCAAAAATTTAGCCGAGAGAAAAGCAATGGCATCAAAAGAAGAGAAAATGATGCAACCATCACAATGTATAAAATTGTCTTATTTATCATAAGTACAAATCTATTGTATCTGTAGGAGAGGTAGAAATGCCACATCATAATTATCTGATTAGAGAACTAAGCATAAAATAAACATATAAGCCAAACAAGGCCAACATATTCAATATTCCCTTTAAATGCCATAACTCATAAAGTCACTAATAGCTAATCTACCAAGCTACTCATGCCTCCTAAATGATGAAGGAGTGAGGCAAACTAAGTGAATATCGTTATTAGGTTTAGCATTGCACAATTCCAAATATTCCCCCATTTGGAGAGAAAAACATGTAACCACATCTGCATATTGCACAGTCAAGAAACTCAAATAAACCTATAGTTTTTCTAAGTGGGAAAGAGAAACAAAAAAACTACTCATACCTGCAGAGAGCAAAATGACATGCAAAGATTGTCGAGCCTTCCGGAAAAGACAAATTCCTTAGTAGCACCGGCTACTGTACTTGGTTGAGTATCACATGCTTGCAATTCAAAATCACATATTTGATCTGGTTGACAGCCAAGCTTATTTGCAATCATCTAGAAACAAGAAAAGTAATGCAATTTATCTTTTAAAAAAAGAGTTGCAACACTGTAGCTTACTGCACTTAATAGACTGCTAGGGCTCAAAAAATATCAAACCTGCAGCAGAAGTGAGTGATGTCTTGAGTTCTTAGTCATCTTTTCAGCTGGACCATTTTCAGCAACTTCTTTATTGAGCTCTGCCTGTGAAAAGGAGTTCAACAGATTAGAGAAAAAGAAAAGCAAACGTTAGTACTTGGGAAAAAAGAAATACAAAAGAATTGATGAACTATTCACTCATTTTTAAAATATGTAACATTTGAGCAAGCTTCAGCTATTCCATTTTTAAAAATCAAACAACCTACTCTATAAATGCTAAAAAAGTCATGTGTTGTCGAAGCCAAAGAGCCAGTGTGTTAGACTTGAACATAATCATATGATTGATGTTACTAAGATTTTTTTCAACACTAGCATCCCTGATGTGATTCTGGTTTCTATAACAATATGAATGAATTACTAAATCTTGCAATATAATCATTGGAAATAGTAAATTACTACTTTCTGTTCACGATGCAACAGAGAACTGAGAAGCAATTATCAAATCACCAACCGTTGACATGAAAAGGCTTCTGGTGTAGTTGACACAGGGTCAAAATAGTAAATGAACTTAACCTTGAAGGAATTGGAAATGATGACTGACATAACAACAATCTGGAAAACAAAATGTGTGATAATTGATGGATCCAAAATTACCTTGATTGATGTTGCCAGGACAGGTAAAAGATGACTCTGTGTGTTCACCTTGAATCCATCATTAACACCCCTACTCACAAGACGTACACAAAACAAAGTAAATTTCTAACTACAACATTAACAGAGAAAGAGAGATATTTCAAACTCCTCAATGTGCTGAGATAAATACAAGGCAGGGGAGTCATGTGTGCCAGTTACAAACATAAGGTATGTGCAAATTCATCAGGCAAGGCCACCTGTCTAAGTGAATAGCCAGGGTAGGGACTCGCATTATAGGCTCCTCAATTCTAACTAGTTGATGTGAATAGGAGGCAGAATCACCCTTCTTCTCTCTTATTATCACCCTTCCTGCAACTGTCAAGTCGCGATCAAACCACGTATGCCACAAACCACCTCCATATGTTTGCACTCCTACCTCCAGAAAACCACCTTTTGTAACCTGATCAATCCCAGGAAGTGATTTTTTTTTTTAAGTATAAATTATCACTGTAACATATTAGTTTAATGATAGGAAAAAAAATCACCTTGGAAATAGGCTTCAACTTTAGACAAGGGCTGTCAGTATGTGCACCAACTATATGAAATCCATTTCCAGCAACATATCTAAGCATAGAAACTATTAGTGGATAAACAAGTAAAATATCATCTAATCACAACAAAAATGTAAACTATTAATCTTACTTGTTAAATTATTGACAACAATAAAATCTCAAAAAAATAAAAAATATCTAAGCTTCACCCAATCCTAACAGCGGTTAGTCAGACCAATGTAGCATCACAAATTCTCAAGCTCATAATTGCCAAAAAGTGTTAACTTTATGACAGATTTAATTCCATTTCCCACAGTTTCTGGCCAATGAAATAAAACTACAAAGTAAATGAGTGTTTCGTTTTTGTAAAGAAAAAAATCATACTTTTTACCAATAGCAAAAGCAACAATGGTTGAATGATTCCTGGTGAAAAAGTATCTCTTCCCAACTTCTAATTTCCAATCTTCTCTCTCCAATACTTGCTCATATCCAACGTCTTCCAACCGTTTCCTTGCCTCAGCTGTGATTAAAACAAAAACCCAACAAAAATCATTCAATCAAATCCAACAAAAAACTAATATGCGTATTATGATCCGAAACTAGTTTGATTAAATGAACTTTCAGTCAACTTCCACCAAAGAGCAAGGACAGAAAATGGAGAACAAAAGAAAAAAGATTACCGACTGCGTGAAAAGCAGTGGGAGAAGCGTTTAAGAAGTTGACAAGATCAGACACAACGGAGCTCACTTTGCTTTCTGCCATGGCTCTTCGACCTTAGCTTCGCTTGGCTTTGTTTTGGTATTTCTGTTTTCCAGCGTTTCCACCACTGTATAAATAGGACCCTTTATACTAATTCCTAGGAATCCAGACACGTGTTTGGGCCATGGCCCAAATAGCCCATCTTTGTGGTATTTGGGTAGAATGTATAAACCTTAACATTGTTTTGATGGTGATATTATGATGCTTGAGGAGAGTAACTTTATGTTTAATGAAAGATGTGATGTGTAATTCGGCTTGAATATTTATAGGAGGTTAACTGTGGAATAAAATTCCTTAATTAGCATCTTGTGCTAGATGCTTTTGTTCTTCATGTTTCCTTTCATTCATATCTTTACCTCCAACCTTTTCCACTGCATTTATGGCATTGATAAGGAAACTCCATACCATTATATTACTAATAATAACGTCTTGGAAACTTCCACGTTCCACCAACGGAGAGGTTGATGGCCTACTGATTAACACAGGCTTTTCCCTTGCTCAATAATTGAATTTGAGTCTCTGTTAAACACGTTTAGTGGTTGAAGTCAAATTATGGGTCCAATTTTAATTAGTCATGATGTAGCATTGGAGAAGGACTCCTCCCTGAACCGGTGAACCCTGTAGTCAACAGGCATTTGCTCTTTGGGTCTGTGTGACAGCTGGTTTTGATTCTTCTCCTTTACTGCACTTCCATAACTCAACAATTTTTGTCTATGCAATTGGAGTAGAAAGTGAGAGTCTGATGAGGACTGGATGCACTTAAAATTAGAGTTAGAGACATGAATATGGGGTATCTCATATTCTTTTATCCAGCAGTAAATTTATAATATTCTTTTATTTGTATATTGATATAGTACTATGCAATTCAGAATCCAACAAAATTTGACGTGACTTGCAGAAACTTCTAAAATGAAGAGGAGAAACGTCCGAAATGTTACTGTTAGACTGCAACCATCCGAAAACAGGGTGGCTGCAGCGTGAAGGTGCAGGGGGTAGTTTCGAAATTGTGTCATATTCAAGTTTTTTGCCGGGAACATCAACCGTTTGTGCAACAAAATAACTACCATTCGTTTTTGGGTGCTTCATATCCTCAGTGGTCACTAGTATTTCTCCAAGAAAATGTGGAATACCTTAAATATCTGACAGCTTAGGCAAGAAAGTGCCTAAAATTATAAAAGAAACTGATCCAAGGTCAGCAACTTGCCAAAATACAGTATTCAAGAGAATATGCAGTACGCCATTAATTAGCAGGAGTGAGGAGACTTCCCAGAAAGGCTTCCATGGCAAGAGGAAGGACCATCAAGAACCCCTTCATCAGTCTAACTCCAAGGTCATTATGTCAGTTGATCTCAGTCTCACCACTGACTTCACTCTTTTCTTCCAAGAAGACATCACCATCCCACTTTATCTTTATACTCTCGTTTGTAGTTTCTTTCACTTTCTTGGGAATTTCAATTCTCAGGTTCTTTCCCAGTTCCCAAGATTCAATCCATTGTTCCATCGTATCTCCATCACCCCCATCTTCACAATCACTCCCTACTTTTTCATCTTCCCACTCTCAGATTATCTTGGCGGCTTTACTTGCCGGAATAAACTCTTACAATGAGAATGAACCGAGGCTTGGCAGCAGTGCAATGGTGCCGCTGCCAGTTCATGTGGGTTCTGGGAACTTATCTGAGGAGGAAAGAGAGTTCTGGCAGCAGCCACATGGCAACGGGTACCGACCTTGCTTGGAATTCAGTATAGGGTACCGGAAAAAGTCAGCCAGGATTTCAGGGGAGAAAAACAGGTTCTTGGTTGTGGTGGCCGCAGGGGGATTGAATCAGCAGAGGAATCAGATTATTGATGCTGTTGTTATAGCTAGAATTCTCGAAGCTTCGTTAGTTGTGCCAATCTTGCAGGTCAACCTGATTTGGGAAGATGAAAGGTAACGAAACTTATTTAGTTCTATTTGGTATTTGGTCCTTTAAATGGGAAATTTTCTGACAAAAATTTCCCATGGAAACATCATATGAACCCCAGTGTTTGGTCTGTAGAGCTTGTCTTCTAATGCCTTAAAACTTAAGGTTCATATAAAGTAGTTATCGGACGATGAAAAGAGTTATAAATGGAGTTTTATGAATCAATCTGTTTTATTGAAATGCCAGTGAATTTTCGGACTTATATGATGTGGAACACTTCAAGAGGACGCTACGAGCTGATGTACGAGTTGTATCTTCACTACCCTCCACACATTTGATGGCGAAACAGACCATTGCAAACCAAATTCCTTACAATCTGTCTCCGCTTTGGATCCGCGCTAGATTCTTCAAACGAGTAAGGAAGACGATTCTTACCCTCGACAACTTTTCTCTGTTCATAAATTATCTTTTTGCTGGATTTTTTTCATGTTTGAATTGCCATTGAGGTGAATGCTACATTTCCCAACACTTCCTGAGATTTTGTTCCATTTGGAAACTTAAATAGACTCTACTTGAGAAATTCTCAGAAGCAGACTAGTTGTTATTATTATTTTTTTTCACAAAGTTCACTAGATTTTGACATAATCTATTCCGGGCTAGCACTTAGTTTCATCTCATTTTGGAACATTTTTTGCTCATTCAGCTCAGTCAAGACGGTGTTCTTGTACTCGGAGGATTAGACTCAAAGCTCTCCAAGAATCTTCCACCAGATCTGCAGAAGCTTAGGTGTAAGGTACTTCAAAGATTTTACTAACACTATGGAAATCTAATTGCTATAGAGCAATTATTATATCTTCAAATGATACTTCCTTTGACATGCCTTCTATATTGCAGGTCGCCTTCCACGCATTAAGATTTTCCAGGCCAATTCTTCAGCTTGGCAATCAACTTGCAAGGAGAATGTGGATTGAAGGTCCATATATTGCCCTTCATCTCCGGCTGGAGAAAGATGTGTGGGTTCGAACCGGATGTCTCACTGGTTTAGGTCCAGAATACGACAAAATCATCACCGAAATTCGGAAGTCTCAGCCCCAGTATCTCACCGGAAGAGTGAACATGAACCACACTCAACGAAGGCTCTCTGGACTGTGCCCCCTAAATGCATTAGAGATGGCAAGGTAAATTAGAAACATGACACTTGAACTTTATAAGGCCAAGTGATCTCTCATCCAGAGTATCAAGATTTTAATTATGGACTGCTGAAAATCATGTTTTATTGCAGGTTCTTGAAGTCTTTAGGGGCACCAAGAAGTGCTCGATTGTACATTGCTGGAGGAGAGCCATTTGGTGGCACTAGAGCTTTGCAGCAACTTGCTGCAGAATTTCCGCATTTGGTGAGGAAGGAGATGTTGGCACACGAGGAAGAACTCTCGCCATTCCTCAACAGCTCCTCTGCTCTATCTGCAATTGACTACATTGTCTCATTTAACAGCGACATCTTTATACCTTCCCATGGAGGAAACATGGGCAGAGCCTTGCTTGTAATTAACTGAAGCTCTATAACTATGTTCTTTTATTGGCATCCTTTTGTTTATCTGCTGCATCATGCGAATCTGCCATCTTAGGCATGAAACAAGGCAAACTGATCTCTTGTTTCTTTGTTTCTGTAATGTTAATATTGACAGGGACACCGTGCTTACATGGGTCATAGGAAATGTATAAGGCCAAACAAAAGAACCATGCTTCCTTTCTTTGAAGACCCCTCCATTTCTGAAGAAGAATTCAGAAAAATCATAAGAGCGCTGCACAATAAATCTCTGAAGCCTGAGCCAAGTAAGAAAGAGAGAGCCAAAGACGTAATTGCGTTTCCACTGCCTGAATGCATGTGTAGACACGGTACAGGTGTTTACTGAGCAACTCTATGAATAGATTCAATTTGCACGCCATCTGTGATGGATTTGTTGTTTTCTTTACACTAGAATCCTGCATAGCATTTTGTTCATACTATTTTTTTGTCTATTCATCATTTTTTTTCCTGTTCCCCCTTTGGAGTGAAGGCCAAAGGGGACATTGTAGCATGACCCTGTTTCCATCTTGTCCAATGTTGATCAAAGAATCCTGTAATATTTCCAAATAAGGTGACAATCATCACAAAGTGTTCTTTTATGCTTGAAATGATTACTTATACAGTAGTAGTATATATTTTTTACCTTGAAGACAGTTGAAAGATGTCAGATTGGTTTGTCAAAGTAATTTAGATTGGAATGCTTTGTCTTGGGTCTACCTTAATAGCTTACATAGTAACTGGAAATGAACCTCATCCAAGGGTTGAAACAACTTTATATTTTTTTTAAAAGTTCCAATATATTAAAAATCTGAAGAACTTCAGTTCTCCATTGAAAAGATTTTGCCAGGCATCCCCTTATAAAAGACATTGAGGTATGCCATAACAAAATCACACAAGGATCAACCCCCAGTACATGAACCAGCAAAAAACCAATATACAAACTCATTCCACACATTAAACAACCCTTATAGACAAAAAGGGAACAGAACTCAGGAATATACAAAGTGAACTTTCTAATTTCCTGGGCAATTCCCAGGAGCGGACAAACACAAAAGATATCCCTTCAATAAAACAAGAGAGGTTGCAGCAGAAATCAACAGGTATTTTAACTATTGCTTCCTTCTATGGTCACAGAACCCCTTTAGTCATCTCCAAAAACTGTGAAGAACTCTATTTCTCTCCCTATACCAGATTTTGCAAGATTATCAGCTTGTTGATTTGCCTCCCTCAATTTGTGTTTGTTTTCCCACTTGTTCACCCTTCTCTTTAGAGCTTCCATATGAAAAACACACTTTCTTAACCTTCATGGAGTTGAATCTAGTGTCTATACCTATTTTACAATATTAGTGGAGTCACTTATCAATACTGCTTGCAACTTTATGAACAAATTTTAAAACTAAGAAATCTGAATCATAGATAATTTCTGTGATGGAAGCAAAGAAAGCATATAGTATAAGTGTAAGCATGAGTTATAATTATTAATTTTAAAAATATATTAAAATAATATTTTTTTATTTTCATTTTACTTGTAATTCAAAGAGATCCAAGGTATTTACTTTATTTGCAGTAAGTTTAGATCTAATTAATTTTTTCAATATTTTACTTGCATACTAAGTTTAAATTTAGTTGATTAGTATAAATAGACTCTTGTATAATTTTTTTTTTTTATCAAGCAATTTAGTTCTTGAATAAGAAATGGGAGATGAGAAGAGATTTGGTAGAAGATGGTTGGACAGTCTTCAATCTTTAATTGTGGATAATCTGAGTAAGAGACTACCATGGTTAGCTATGAAGGGAGCTTTGGACGAATATGGAACTGTGGCTGAAGTCTTCATCCTAAGGAAGGTTCAACAAGATTCAAGGGAGGAGGTAAACTTTGCCTTCATCATGTATAGAGAGGGGTACGAACTTGATACGGCATTGAAATGGGGAGGGCATCAGTGGGTGGATGGGAAACGTCTAGTGGTGAGAAGAGCCAAGCTGTTGAGAAAGGGGTTTGAAGATCGCAGAAACAGAGGTTCACAAGGAAAAAGTCCAAAATTTGAGATTAAGAGACATGGGTTTGAAGGGCGGTCATACAAGGAGGTAGTGGTGGAGAAAGAACAATGGAAGGCTAAACTCAACGAGAAGAAAAATATAGAGAAGAGCTTGGAGGGGATGGCGGACCAAGGCCCCAAAGCTGTGGAAAATTGCAGTGGAGCAAGAATCGAGGAATGACAACCAAAAAAGTGGAATTAACCTGGAAAGAATAATCGCCCAAGAGAAACTAAACTTAGTGAAATTGGGTAATGAATAGAAACTCAAATGAGAGGTCAATACATTGGTTTTCAAAAACAAGATACTAGTGGACGATATGGAGTGGTGCAGAGATGTGTCATGGGGAAACTTTATAGACACGTGTTCCCTAAGATTGTCCAAGAAGAACTTCAACGTGAGAGCATTCGAGTTCAAGTCAGGCCGGCAGGCCGGCTTCACGTAGTTCTAATCTTTACTAATGACGAGGATAGGGAGAAGATTTTAAAGGAACATAAAGAAGCCTTAATGAGTGGTTTGATTGCTTTTATCCATGCTCTGAAAAGAACAAGTTATGTAGCTCCAAAGTATGGGTAAGGGTAAAGGGGATACGTTACATTTATGGCAAACGATCTTTCTTTCAATTTTTAGGTAATAATTGGGGTAGTTTCTCCAAGGTTGATATTCAGACAAAGTTAAAGCTAAGGTTTGATCAAGCTCTAATTCAAGTGGAGACCACCAACCAAGATAATATTCCCCCAGTTTCAAACATATGGTCCTGCGAAAAGCTCAGGAAATTACCAATGCACACAGTGGAAGCTCCGGACATAGAGAAAATGGTGTTGACAGAGGTGACGGCGCCTAAAGCAGTAGACTTAGCTGGCTTAGTTATCCGGTTCACGTGTGAGGATGAGAACCATCGAGAATGTGGGTGCTGCAATCTTGACACATGCGAAATGACATTGGCACGTGGAAAAGGCTCTTGGAAAGGAGAGAAATTTCCGAGGAGCTCTTTTTGAATTTGAATGAGATTGATTTGGTTGGAAGGGAGATGTTTGATGTAGAGATGGCCGGGACGAAGGGTCCACGTGGGGAACAGATTGACAAGGTTCAAGGAAATAAAGTACTTCATTGGGAGCCTAGTTTGCAAAGTGGGTTAAAAGGGATCAAATTGTTTGGAATATGAAACATGTGAAGGTAGAACAAATAATGAAGGTGGGGCTTGGATTGATAGTGGATTTGACCCAAAAAGAAGAGTGGGCTAGAGCTCAACCCATCTGTCAAGTGGTGATTTTGCGCAAAAAAGAAGAGTTGATATTGGGCCGAAGGGGGTGAACAAGGAGGATGGAAACTCATCCAGCCTAGAGGCATTTAGTAGACAAAGAGCAAAGGGGATAGGAAGCAGAATTCTCGAGAGGAAATTTAGGGCAAGAAAAGAGAAAGATTTTCTATGGGACAGGCAATCCGATGCATGGGAAAAGAGGGTGTACGATAGAGAATCCAATGCATGGGAAAAGAGGGTGTACGATAGAGAAGGAAAAACGAAATATAAAAGTAATGCAGGCTTGGAAGGATTGGGAAAGTTGATATGCTCGAGCCAAGGGACGTCAACCACAAGTCTTTTCTTTGGGGTGGAGCAAAATATAGATGCTTTTAATCAAGGCAGTATGCTTGGGTTATAGTCTCCCTCGTGTAATTTGTTATGTTTTTCAGGTCTCGTTTTATCTTTGTGTGGTTTAGAGGTATGTTTTGGTATTAAGGTTAGAATTAATTGGTAATTTGATGAATAAGTAAATACATCTAGATTAATATTTGTAGGTTATGTGATGAAGAAGATAAATCTCTCTATTTGTTTAGAGATTTGATTTTCTTTTGTTAACGTTTTTGTCGAATGAAGTAGTTAAGTTCTTTATGTAAGTATACTATTCTTTTTCTCTTCATAGCTTGACTTTTTATATCACATGAAATCATTCACATAATTCAAGATTTATTATGATTTGTAAATTTTTAAAATTAATAAAATTTTTACTTAAAAAAATAAAATCACTTTCAACAACTAAACAACTTTATATATCCTAGCCATTTGATTATTTTCTTATGATTTTTAAGTAAAATGTGACACCAAAAACATAATAAACATGTAATCCATTGGCCAAGGCGATCTTAATCAATTCAACACTTGAATTTAAGGCTTCAGACGGTTTCAAACAAACATATATTAGCAAGTTACGCAGGCATTGCTGAAACATAGCAACTTAACTAATTGTACTAAGGAAGGAATGTATATGAACGTGAGGCAAGATCATATATATAATTCTCTATTAGATTTCAGGCTCCAACAATACAATCTTTGTGCATGGACCGAGCTCAGAAGCAATAATGATAGCAGTCTGTGACTCGATCAAAATGTGCTTATAAATTGCAGAGTTTAATCTACAATTGCTTATAACACAACACAACCATATGTACCCAGCCAGCCTGCATTCGATACAAGGAGAGAGCAGAGTCTTTTTTTCTTCTTGAATTTTTCTTAATGATTAATATAAATTTGCTTTAAACATGATAAAGGTGATTTTTAGGATTCATGTTTTCTGGCACCTTTGACAAAATCATGGTACCATGTGGCAGATTTCTTGGGGATGCGCTTGAGGTTGTTCTTGTAGTCAACGTAGTAAAGTCCATATCGGACGCTAAAACCTTCTGTCCATTCAAAGTCATCGAATAAACTCCAATAGAAATATCCTTTGACATTCACGCCAATGCTGGGTAAGAGGCAACATATAGAACATGAATCAGTTTCCTAATTAGCTTGCGAAGGATATAAAAGAATTGAGTGCACGTAAAAACATAGTTAGAAGCTCACTTGATTGCCCTGCGGAGTTGTTGCAAATGTTTCTGAACGAATTCAATTCTAGGTTGATCATTTATTGCCTGATGAATTGGAATGCTGTGGTCATTTTTCTCCGTAAAACCTATGTGAAATTAATGGATCATATGAAGATGTATTAGCAATCACAAAAAAATAAATCAATAACAAACTCGATAGAAAGGAAGCATGGAAACAAGTTCCAAACCATTCTCAGTAATGTAGATTGTAAGGTTTTTATTGTAGTGTTTCGTCATGAACTTCAAAATTTTGCACAGCCCTTTTGGATAAACGTAAATGAACATGCTCCCTCCAGCACTTGGCCCAATAAGAACTCCATCTTTGTCCACTGCCAAAACAAGACAGCAATAAGATCATTCCATGTATTCTTGAAATTTTCTTTTTCCTCTTCCTTCTGAGGAATAAAAAGCGGATGTTCATTGTAATAAAGATGAATTTAAGATTACCTGTGGCATTGACATGTTGGTCTGCCAAGTAGCTGATGGGTGCAGCTTGTGGATTAATTGGAATGTTCTTAGCATATCTTGCTGTATAGTAGTTGATGCCAATGAAATCAAAAGATCCTTTGACCAGCTCTTTCTCTTTTGCACTGAAAACGGGTAGCCTCTCCTTCACCAATCTTCTCATGCTCAGAGGGTACTGTCCTCGCACCAGGGGTTCCATAAACCTGGAAACCACACCAACAAGGCAACAATGCATTCAACATTTTGAATAATTTCGATCATTGGTTTTGTGGATGCGAAGTGGAAAGTGATAAATTAACTCTTGTGTTTTGCTTCTCAAATTTGACTTTGGTAAGCTGGATATTCGTGATAAATTACTTGAGAAGTTGTTCATCAGATAGAGTGATTTTACTAACCATCCCAACTCGAAATCCATGGCTCTTTTTGCTGCAACTCTATCAAACAATTCGTTTGAATAGGGCTCATAATACTGCCCAACAAGGCTCAATCCAATTTGTCCCCCTTGTGCTGCCTGGCAAACCAAATTCAACAATTAATAAACATAATATATAGTCTATATTCTTTTTTCTTTTTTGAAAGGTGGTTAATTTATTTAAAACAAGGCCACAATGCCATTCAAAGTCTCCAATCTTATGTCAGAGACTTCACTTGGCATAAGCATCAGGCCTGTGCAAAGGAGAATATGTACAATTACAAAAAGAAACCAGCACTGAAAAAGTGTCTACACCGGTTTCCAAAATTCCTTCCCTAAGTTTAGGAAAACAAAGGGGAACAAAAAAAGCTCACTATCCAAGCCAATTCCTAAAATATAAAGTCTATAATCTAATAGCATATGGTCCTAAAATACACCGAGAGAGGGCATTTTATGGCTTATAATTTTACCTGGTACTTCTCTTTGTAAAGCCTAGCAACAGTTGCATGGGCAAGAAGAAGGTTGTGGACAGCAATGTAAGGTTCAGTGGCTGAATTACCAGCGCGACACGTTGTTCTATCTGAACATCTGCCTGGTGGAGCCATTCCCAAGGCATACCCGAATTTAGCAGTAACTAGTGGTTCATTGATGGTAATCCAATTTTTAACGCGATCTCCAAATGTTTTAAAACAAATTTCAGCATAATCCTTGAAATCCTTCCTGAAAAGAGAAGGTAAATTTATTACAGAGTAATTACCATCAATTGCACTTACAAGTTGCGAAAGTCAGAGACTTTTAATGTAGAACTAGATATCACAATGAAACTTACACAATAGTGCGGTTTAAGAAGCCTCCGTACTTCTCTTCAAGGGCCTCCGGTGAGTCAAAGTGAAATAGTGTCACAAAGGGCTTGATGCCTTCAATTGATGAAACATATAAAATATATTAGCCAAATAACAAAAACAAAGTTGGAATACACCCAAAACTTAGTTGCAGTAAGCTTCTGATCACCGTGTTTAACCAACTCGTCGATGAGACTGTTGTAGTGATTGATACCCTCCTGATTTATTCCACCACTCAAAGATCCATCTACATATGTAGGAAAAAATATATATAAAGTGGTTAATGTATATTACTGTGCTTTAAGAGACTCCAATTATTTTCTCCCTTTCTCTCTCTCTTTTTTTTTTCCATTTTTTAACAGAAGAATAAAGAGTTTGAGCAAGAAAATATTACCCGGTAAAATCCTAGTCCAGGGGATGGAAAATCTATAAGCATCGACGCCTAGGTCCTTCAAAGCCAAGGCATCTTCCTGCAAATACATTTACCATTTCTTTAATAAAGCAATGGCCGGGTCTGTGGTCTTGTTTCTTCTGCATGAAACTTTAATAGTAACTCGAAAGCCTAAGATGATAGATGTTGTTACCTTGTAGCGTTTATATGAGTCGACTGCTACCTCCAAGTTACTCTTGTCTATTATTCTGTCTGCACGAAGGCCAATAAACAATTCAAAGGAGAATTCTTATTTGTTAGCTGCTATCAAAACTCCAATTAAGTACTACTATACCAATCATGTTACTATTTAAGGTGACAACCTGGGAACTTCCTAACAAATTCGTCCCAAACGCTCGGTCCTCTCCCTCCAAATGTAGTTGATCCTTCAATCTGCAGTCAATGTAATTGCTTATATTATTAAAATTTATTAGGTGACACATCCGAAAATACATAGATTAGTAGAAGTATGTGACAAGAGAGTATGTTGCATCATATATCATGTGACATTCAGTTCCAGATGAAGCTAACCTGAGCAGCAGCAGTGGATGCTCCAAAAACAAAATCTCCTGGAAAATGGGATCTCTTAACATTAAAATATTCTCCAGAGTTCGATAAAGTTGCGCCTACGCCTTCTTGGGATGCTTGAGTTTCTGCATGGAATTTTAGTGTGTTAAAAGACAAGACAACCTAAAACAACAAACAAAAAAAGCATAAAGAAAGCGAGAAAGGTGGACAGACTTTGGCCATGCACAGACAAGCAGGCAAGCAAAGCAAAGGCTGAGATCCAGATGAGACTCTGTTGAGCTGATGCAATCGAAAATGATGAAAGTGGCAACATTGTTAGCTTTCTGATATGAAAGATCTCTTGGTTTCAAGAGTGGAATGTGTGCGAATACGAGGGAGGCGGCTCTTCTTATATAGGATCGCATCCAAACTATATCTAACAAGAAACCTGATTAACTATTTTTTATTCACTAAAAATATCAAAGTGACAACCATGAAAGAAACAATTCCTGTTGTGTTTTTGTGGTCGATGGAGTGTCATTACCTTCCCATTTCTCCCCAGGATAGGCAGTTTTGTTAGCAACGCTCCAGTGAATAATTGTATTTTTATTTATTTTTAAATAATAATTATATAATTATTTAATATGGTCACAATTCATAAATATTAGTAATTGTTGTCATGTGTATTGCAAATAAAATACTTTTTTATTTTTTTAAAAAAATAGTTATATAAAAACATAAATATGTTTAAATTATGAAGTTCGGAGGATAAATAATTCAAGGTTCATTATATAAATTTATCAGTTATTCAATATTATTAGTGTATACACAAACATTTCCAATAACATTCGAAAGTAATTGAAATTTTATATTTTTTTAAAAGTGAAATTTTGTAATATTAACTTATAAAGTATTCAATATTATGAAAATTAAGAAAAAAATATATTTTAATATAAATCACTCAGTAGTAGAATTCTCATTTATAAAATGGATAAATCATATTAATATTTATAATGACAATTTAGAAATATAATGACCAGATATGTTTGTTCTCCTCAATCAAAAATTTTACTAACATTTTATGCTTTTATATATATTATAGATAATGAAGAGAGAATTTGGAACCAAATAAATTATTTTCTAATAAAAGTGATTATATCATTTAGTTGCACACGTGCCCAATGGAGTAATCACGCACTACAGTGACTAGAAGTCCTCTCCCCCCATTAGTGCCTCCTCCCTATTTTCTTGCCACCTGTGTTCTAATTTATTAACATTCCTTAAGTTGTTATCCTAAATGATATTTACTTTTCAATCTTTTTATATTTCAGGTTGTCTTTGATAAATATAACACAAAACTGCAGCTCATAAGTTATTTAATAATAATAATAATAATAAAAAAGGCAGCAGCTTATGGTGCCTTTCCAGCTTAAGTCCTAAAACACAAATCTTTAAAAAAAAAAGAAATACTTTTTAAGTTTCCCAGTCAAGAATTCGCAGAAGTCGGTTTTGATAGAATCGTGAAGTCAAGGAAAGATTGAAGGTTTCAAATTCTCTGCAGCAACATTTTTTCAGAACAGGGAAAATAAAGATATTTAACTAGTGGTAGTCGCCATAGTTATGGGCTTTTAAATATATTATTATTCAGAATTAAAATTCATAAAATTATATGTTATAAAATTTTCATTCTTGTCTGATTCAAACTTGGGGATTGAAACTGTCGAATATGCTTTTACCTTTTAAGCAATTTCACGCTGCATTTGTTTGGAATGAATTACTACATCTTTATTCTGAAGTTGGTTTCTAACCTAATTATCATTCCCCAGGCTTGGGATATTCAACCCCACGGTTGTTTATGATCATTTGGGAGAAATATTCTCAGCACTCATCTTTGGAAGCTTGAATTTTTGTATTTTCTTACACATTGAAGTGAGGAAATAATTAGTTAGGTTGGTGTAAGTTTTTCACAAGTTAACATTTCAAATTATAACTCTGACACTAAGTCTTATGTTTATAGGGTCATGTGGCACCTTCTTCTACCGATTCTGGGTCATCTAGGAATATAAGAATTGATTTCTATTGGGTAAGTATGTATGAACTTTGATAGTTATATTAGCCCATGTAATATTTTAGATAGAATAGAAAAAATGAAAACATTGCCATAGAAGATGTAGATTGATGTTTTTAGTTGATTATACAATGAAATTGTGTCAGTGTGTGCGGAAGATTTTTAGTTAATTCTATGTTATTTTATTTATTTGTTACTACGTTAATTGAATGCTTGAATGCACAAACAGGCCCAACCCGAAAAGCTTAGAGCAGAGAGGCTATTACCTAAAATAGAAGCGTCCATGATCCCTGCTTCTCCTGATTATGACCAGGAAACAATCACTGATAAGGAGTGGTTTATGTTTCGCAGAGTTGGTTTAAGAATGAAGCCATACTGACCTCTTGGTGTGTTATCTTCTAGTTTGGTTATTGGAGTTTGGATTTAGTGTTAAAATGCTGATGCTTTGTATAATAATATGTCAGGTATTTGTGGTGTTCTCGACGGTGTTGTTGAGAATGTGCATTTTCATTATCATTAATTTAAATATGAAATTGATTTTGGAAGATTTTTTATCTTTGCAAACACTTAATTACATTTTTGGTAATTTTTTTATGTATAAACATTATGTTTGTAATAGAATAGATCTTGTACCTTATTGGAAAGTAATAAATAATCGAATGGGCTATTCCCATTATAGGTCCCGTTAAATCCCTTCTCTTCTTCCCTCCCCTTCCGATAGTTGATAAATTGGCCCTCTCTCTTCCAAATCCTAAAACCAAGAATTAAAAACTTCCCCCAATCCATCTTCACTTGCCATTGCCATCTCCTGCTATTTTGCTACCGACCATCACTAGTCGCCTCACTCAACCTACCTCGTCGTCGACCGGCTCTGCCTTCCCTTTCTTACTCATTTATCTTCAAGGTTTGTAAATTTTGATAATTTTATTATCTTAGTTGTGGTTTTCTTTTTGTTTTTGCAAATCAATATATTAAAGGTTCTTGGTCTTCTCTCCATCGTTTGTGGTGCTACTTGGTATTCTTGTTCTTGGTTTTCTGATTGGCTATCTCATAAAGAGAGTTTAGGAAAAATTGCAGTTGAAACCATCCGTTATTCAAAAACGGAGGTGGAAGCAGTAATTGGCTATATTGTTTTAATCATTAAATTGTTCTAATATAGCCTAAGCCTTCATATGATCCAATAAAAATATGGGCTTTGATTGGTTATTTTTCAGCTTTAGGCCATATAAGTCCAAGCCTAAACAAAATTTATTATCAACTGAAATTGACTAAATCGCTGTTGGTTTCGGTTTGATCGATTTTCTCGTTGGTCATTTTAAAATACCAGTTCCATTGGTTTTAGCTTCTTTCGAAACTGAAATCGATTGAAACCGACCAATATTCTCCCTTATTGACAATGCGTTAAGGAAGGAAGATTCGGATTTATGAAAGGGAAAGAAGAGGAAGGGCTTAATTTGAAGACTATCCGTATTGAGGATTGAGATTTTTAAAGCTGCAGATAAATTCTAAAGGAGAAGTGAAGAGAGAGAGATAAAAGAAATTAAATGGGAATGAAGCAAAATACAAAGTAATTGAGAGTGGAGCGTGTTCAATTCTAAAAATGTTTTGGAAAGAAAGTTTTGATTTTCGGATTTTAACCACAAAAAAACAAACTTTTTGACCCTTCAACGAATAGGGTTCTAACCTGCAAAGAAAAACATGAAAAATAAGTGAGAAAGACTTACATTTGTTAAAAGATACTTGATACCCCATGCAATTCGACAGTAACGTACGGGTATCTCGTATCTCTAACCTTCTCAATGTACTGAACCTATTCACGTGTTTTCCTCGAATCAACCATTGTCTGCAATGGATTTGCTCATCCAAGATTTGCCACAACACCTAAAACCCTTTCTATCATTTTATAAGGATAAGACCATGCTCCAGTAGAAAATGCTCTTGAAAGGCTATTTGTAAATATGGAGGCATCAAGATAGTGCTCAATAATGTGAACACTACAATCTTAATAAAGATCTCTGTTCAGAGTCTTAAACCATACACCCTCTTGCATGTGCAATGTGAACTTTCAGTTCAGATTCAAACAGCTCACCAGCCAACTCTAACCTCTTGTTCCTAAAATTATCTACATTGTCTCATTTTCTATGACCAATGTAGGCTTGTGAAGGACACTTTACCATGTACCCCAAGAAACGAGCTTTTTGATTGAAACTAAGAATAGTGGGAAATAGATACGTGCTGAGGCACTCTCTTAACATCTTCTTTAGGTGGAAATATTTTAGAAAAGTCAAATTTGGTCAAAAGGGCGAAACTAAAACCGACGAAACCGATACTCTAGAATGATTGATCAAAGTCGACCAATCATAAAGGAAAATCAATCAAATTGAAATCGATCGTCACTATCAAATCAACGTCCGAAAATCATAACTATCGGACAAAACTCATATGCTCAAATTCTCATGTCATCATGCCATCAACAGTCCATGTTTCGAAATTCATATCATATAATCATAACATGTTAAGCCCCATATGCTTTGCCAGCTCAAATGTCAAATTCAACGTAACTCCAATGCATTAAATGCATCATTGCATAATAATTCTCCAATCATATCATTTGTCAAGAGCAAACTATTCCCATATACCTAACACAATTTATATCTCCAAATTTCCAAAAACTCAAGGAGAAACAGCAACTAAGCTGAAGCAACACAATTCCGAAATTATAAACGGTTTAAAGGAGGTAGTATAAGCTAAAAGATTTTTTGTTTTAGGACTTAAAGCTGGAGACGGTACCATAAGCTGCAGCTTTTATTTTTTTTATTAAATGGCTTATAATCTGCCGCTTTATGTTATATTTGTCAAAGATAACGTAAGAGCTAAAAAGTTGAAAACCTAGTGCCGTTTAGGGTAATACCGTTAGGAATGTTAATAAGCTATAAGACAAGTGGCAAGAAATAGAGAGGAGGCACCAATGGGGGCACAAATTAAGGCGGATGATTTCTATTCACTACAGTGGCCTGGTGGAAAAGGGTCCCGGCCTTTCTTGGACACCGGAAAGGTCCGGCGAGGTTTCAAAGGAGAAAGATAGGTTCTTGGTTGTGGTGGCTGCAGGGGATTGAACCAGTATAGGAACTAGATTATTGATGCTGTTGTTATACCTAGAATTCCTGAAGGTGCGTTAGTTGTGCCAATCTTGCAGGTCAACCAGATATGTGGAGATGAAAGGTAATGAAACTTATTTTGTTCTAATTTAGTATTTGGTCTTTTAAATGCGATCTAGTTTTGAGCAAATAACATCTAA